CCACTGCCGACGCCGTCACCGAGGTCGGCGGATAGGAATGGATGTAACGGAGACTACCGGGCATCGGCACTGCGACATAAGAAGCGCCGCCGGTGGGACCACCGCCGCCACCACCGCCGGCTCCACTTCGGTCACCGACGCTGCCGCCGCCTCCGGTATTGCTCGCACCACCGCTGTTCCCACCGCCGCTGCTCGCACCGCTGTTGTTCGCACCGCCGCCTCCCGCAGACAGAACACTCGAAACGCCGACCACGCCGCTGCTCGTAGTGATTCCGCCGGTGGCGACGATGGGACCGCCCGCAGTCGCGGCTGCGGCCGCGGCCGCTGCCGCCGCGGACGATGCGGCCGCACCACCTTGCACATACGTCGCTCCCGTTCCTACCGTTCTCGGAGACACTGGGCTGCTGCTCTTGATGTTGACATAGTTCTGTGTCGGCCTGAAAAAGTCACATGTTGCGTCAGATTTATATTTTGCACATCGGAATAAAAATGATTCAAAATTACGTAATATGCAAAAAAACTTTTAAACCGATGTCAAATGATAAAGAAAAGAAACGACGGCTTATTAAATTTACAATTACACGTCAAACTTCTGTTTTTTCTAATTTTTGATAAAATACAAAATAATATAATTTATAATATTATCAACATAGATTTTACATTGTATTGTATTTTGAACAGACACTACAATATAATGTAAAATTATATTGTAGCGTCTGACAAAACATATATATAAAATATTTACAAAAAAAAACAATATATATGTATATAATGCACATACACACGCACACACAGAGTGATTCAAGTTATCAGTACTAAGATTTGATCATACGCGAAATAATCATTCAATGCCTTGTTACATATCGAAAAACGTCGCAATGATTTGTTTATCAGGCTCGTGTATCACTGTCACATGTCACATACACGGTTGATCCAATTTTATTGGATCAGAAAACTGTCAAGCATGATACGATTGACAGCGGCCTAAACACCTTCACACAACTGATCGATATCCTCTTTTTTTTTTTTTTCAACAAAACTCGTCGAAGATTTCGTAAGCGCCAAGATATAAAATTTTCACTCAATCTCAACATTTTACTGATTACTTATTACTTCATATTCGAGAGAGATATTCTCCTTTTTTTAATCAGTGTATAAACTCAACGACAACCAAATAATTCATACACCGCCGGAAAGCATTCTCTTTCTCTCTCTCTCTCTCTTTCGTTCTATATTTGCATGAATTTAATTGTCACACTGTATTCGCAGACTAGTACGCGCGATGAACGTTCTTATGCGTTATCGATGTAGAAGCAAAAAAAAAAAAATATATATATATATATATATACACATATATATATATATGTATATACACGACCGAGAGAGCGTAGTGAGGTAAAAGCTGCTTCGGCTCGTTGGATCAACGTGTGATCTACTAGATATATTCCAAAGTGAATAGCCGAGGCAATATTGCCGAGTAGCACAAGCGTTAATTGCTCTCGTCACTTTTCAATATTTATTAAAAAATAATAATCCGACATTTTTTTCCCAAGATATATTTATTTTATACGCGCATACATTTTTTAGTCGAGAAAAAAAACTCGAGAAAATAATACGCACGCTTCGCACTCTGATATTTTCGAATCACCGTGTATGTTGGCAAGCGTTCGCGCACTATTTCATCACGGATCCTCTAATAACTGCGAACTAAAATCGTATCGCTTAAGCGGCCTTAACGTCGGCGGACGCGAGAATATAACTCTCTCTCGTTGTCGGTAGAGAACGAGAGACAAAGAGAGAGAGCTTAAGAGAAGTCGTGACTTAATAATATTTTAATTCGCGTCTAGCGCGAGACACCCCGACGATGGTAACTACTAACTAGATCTACTAAACGAGCTCATTATTATTACCTTCACGTTTTCGCGCGATGTGTGTATGATCGCGCGAACGAGAAGATAAAATTGCCGGAACCGGAATTTCTCCGAACGTATATCACACATGTAACATATTCCCGATCGGATCGGGACAATAACGACGAATTCGTCGCAAAATACCGCGCGACGTCGCAATCAAAAACACAGAAACTGCCGACAATCAATCTTGAATGCGTAAACCGGGAAACCGAGAATGCGACACGCGGAGATAAAATATAACGGAAAATCAAAGAAAAAAATTATGCACAATATATTTCTTAAACTGTGTATCTAGAAATATGTAACTCATATGACGTATTTCGTCACGTTGAATATCGCAATTTTTAGATAAATTATTTACGTACGTGTATATTTTCCAAATGTGTACATTCACCTTGGTGTGCATTTACGTTTTACAATTAAATGCTGCAAAAACACAAAAGCTTGAAAAAAAGTGCGGTTTAGTTCGCCGATATTCGGTTAAAAAAAAAAAAAAAAGAAACAAAAAAAAACCGTCTACTCCAATTAACGAGTGAATCGATAGATCTAGTTAACTCAAAATTTAAAAAAATGTGATAGCAAAAAAATGCAATTTCTCCGCTTCCGTGCCTGTTCGACGCGCCGCCGCACAGCGGTTATTAATTTAATTGAACTAATTAGCGAACCGAAGAAGGAACCGACCGTCGGTTCACATTAAATGAGATCAATACCTTCGAGTATTAATTTTGAAAGAGAGAGAAAGAGAGAAAGAGAGAGCGCGATATCTATCTCGCGACATGCAAATTTAACAAGCTAACGTATCATTTCATCAATCAGCAATGAGTTTGCCCCGCCGTTCAAACCTCGATATAAAGACTGACAAGTACACACACACCGGTAAAAGGTTGGGATTATTTAAAATGTCGATATTGTTAAAAATAAAATGAGGCTGGAACAAACTGAAAAAAAAAAAAAAAAAAAAACGGCAATCGGCGAAAGGTTAATGCCACTCAGTGCTCAAATTAATACCTCCGCTTGAGGTTGTTCCCAGGCGAGATGCGCGGTAAAAGGCACTACTTCTTGCCATCATCTACCTATCCCAAGTAAAACAGTTATCCGCGTGATGGCGCGTATACACGTATCACGTTTCGCTGAAAAGAAATCGTTTCCAAGCTCGTCGTTGAATTCTCTCATAAAGCCGATATATATATATGTCTCGGGTTAAACAACCCGCATGCGAAACATCGTGCGTGCGTGTGTGTATTTTTGACTTGACCGCGAGGATTCGTGTTCTTCTTCGCGCAAATAAATGACGGTTCGCGTCTCTACTCTCGCGTCGTTCGCTCGTGATATCTCTCTTGCTCTTTTTTTTTCTCTTTCGCGCGCGCGCGTGTATATTTTCAGTTTCGAAGGTTTCCCATCGATCGAACGCGAGAAAAGCGAGTCCTGACCCTTTCGCGGACACATCGTGAGAAATTGTCGACATCCGCGCGGCCCCCCTCCGTGTGATGCGGCTCCTCCTCCGATTTTTCTTCCAACGGCCGAAAGTCCGGATTCCCGTTTATTTCGATCCGCAACGCAGACTTTTCCGATAATACGTTCCGATAATCCGCTTGTTTCGAAAATGACGTGGAATTCGCTTTCGAGGTATATTACGTTTTAACGATATAAGAGATATAAAACGCGCGCCAGACGCGCAGCACATCATTGATCTCTCTCCCTATCTCACAAAACACTTTCTATAATTTAATATTGCGCAACAACTTGATAGAAATTGCGTCCCGTCCGTAGTACTGTAAACGTAACTCCATCTCACCGGACTAATTAAGAACGAACTTGCTGCCGCTCGCTGCAGCAGGTACAATTACCGCTACGGACATGGTCATTGTGCGCCGTTCTCTCTCGCCGCGGCCAAGAACAGGGCAAAAGCCCGTCCTCACGAGGAAATGTGTGTGTGTGTACACACACACACACACACACATATAATCTATCTGTCTCTCTCTTTCTATCTATTTCGGTTTTGCATACAAATCCGACTGGTATATGCAAGTCGCTCAAAATTAGATCTAGGTGAAGAGAAAAGAGCTACCGCCGCATGACTCGCCGAAATATAAGCCGAAAGGAATCGGACAGGGCGAAATAAAAAGGCAAAAGAGGAAGTATCGAAAGAAAAAAAGAGGAGAAACGAGGGAGAAAAGGAGGAGGGAGAAAGAGAAAAGTACCAGAACCGAAGAAGAAATTATAGTGTTCGGTCGAGAAGCCCGGGCCAATCGCGTGACGCGTCGAAAATACGATTCGCGCCGGAATAGGGTTGCGATTGGCGGTTCGCGCGGCAGCGCACTCGCCGACGACGGCGACAAGCAGCGACGACATTTCGGCGGCAGTGCGCCACACGTGGCAGAATAACACTGCGCATGCGCCAGTCGCGCGGTGGGAGCTTTGAGGATTTTCTGCGAAGAGAGGGAAAGAGAGGAGAAGAAAAGGGGGTGAACGGACAGGAGGCGCTCGCGCGCAATTCCGCGTGTCGGTGCTTTGCTGTGGTCGGTCCCGACGCGCAGGCGCATCACGACCGTCGCCGTCGCCGCCGGAAGGGTGAATGCGCCTCTCGGCTGCTCTTCGGCTTTGGAGAACGCGGTGTTGCCGCACATGTTTGCCGTTGTTGCCGAATGTTACCGACGACGAGACGGCAAAAGCTCATCAAACACAGCGCCGAGGCCGGGATTCTCCTACCCGCGTCGCTCGCCGACGGATTACAGTGGAAGGTTAATCGGTGACGGATGAGAGTTTGTTGTTCAGACCACGATTGCTGCTGTTCTTATTTTTTTCTCTCTCTCTCTCTTTCTCTTCCCTCCCCGACTCCTTAACAAGACGAGAAACGGAGAATAGATGAGATCCTGGCTCCACCGTCTTCTCGTCCTGAGTTACACACACACACACACGCACGCATTCATTTATGTCTGTGCGAATTTCCAAAGAAACTCGTATCACGAGCTCGCATCGCGAAAAACGCACCAACGTTAGACGTGATTTCGCGAACAAGAGAGCAATTGTCGGTTTTGAAATAACCCAGCCACGTATACGAAGATAAACAAGATGAACAAAAAAAAAAAACCATAGATACTTTTCAAATATAGTCGGGTCCACGACCACAGAGCGGAGCAAACAATAAGCTCGTTTCTTCCCGTGCAGAGGTATAGCGTAGGTAGGCAGGTATAGCGTCGCGCGTGTTGCGAAACGCTTGTATCGGCGAGTTTTAGCAGCGTGTCGCGATCAAAAGCGCCGAGGATATGTACTATTACAAAAAACGGGACGACGACGACGACGACGATCAGAAATCGCCGACATATAAATGCAGCAATACATTTTGCGACACACACACGACCGAGTAAAATGTATTCTTCTCGGTAAACCTTGCACCTCGCGTCTATATTTTCACGTGTCTGACGCATACGTTGTCCGTATCAAGACGCACATATCACCAACAGCAAGATCCGTTACTTACAATTTACATCCGAACGCGATGCGACGTTGAAATTCTTAAAGAG